TACTTCATTTGCCTTTCCAAAGCTGCTGTGGCTGCTTTTCAGGCTTTTGGTCTGTTCATTCCTCTCACTGAGGTGACTTTGGAGCACTTTCATAGAATCACAGAATTGTAGAATAGTTTAATAATATAATAGTTTAAGTTTAAAGCCATTACCCCTTGTCCTACCACTAGAGTCCCTAATGAAGAGTCTCTCCCCAGCATTCTTGTAGGCCCCCTTCAGCCTTCTCTTCTCCAGGCTGAACAGCCCCAACTTTCTCAGCCTGTCTTCATACGGGAGGTGCTCCAGTCCTCTTATCATCCACTCTTTCTGCTGCCGCCATCTGTCCCCCTCTATCCTTTCTAAAGTTCAACTGGGTTTTCAGGCTGTGTTTTAGCCTCTCTCTAAGGTTTGTGGCATCTCAGCAGCTACTCTTCTTTCTCCCAGGACTATTTTAGCCTCCGTACTTCGTTCTTTCCTCTTCCAAGGCTATTCTCTGTTACTCTTTATCCTCTCTCCTTTTTTAGCAGCTGAATGCATTCTGTCCTAGTGCTCTTTTAGAATCTCTGTTACCTTCTTGTTATTGTCAAGGTCTCTGGTGCATTCACTATTTCAGGCTTTCTAGTAGTTGCTTTGGCTCTTTGAAGGTACTCTGTCTCTCTGAGTCTTTTAAAGATTTTAGCTCATTTTCTCTCTTTGATGCTACTTTTTGGGGCACTTTCAAGCTTTCAGCCTGTGTTTTTTTGGTCTTTTCTGAGGCCGCCTTTGGTACTGCTGTGTACTCTGGAGCTCCTTTAGTATCTCTGATACTTGGTTGTTATCACTGAGCCTCTTTGGTATTCTCTGGGGTGCTTTTTGCCTTGTCTGTTTCTTTCTTGGCCTCTTGGACACTGGTATGTCTTGTTTCTTTGGGTACTTACAGGCTTTCTTTCCTTGAGGCTACTTTATGTTCCTGAATATCTTTCGGACTCTATGTTGGTTTGCTGGCTTCTGCTTGGCTCCTTTGTTTTATCTGGGGATTTTTCAGACCATCATCTACTTTCCTGGCATTTGGAGGGCTATTCTGTGATCTTCATCTATCTCACTGCTAAATAAATTTTCACTGTTTCTCTGAAACAGTGTCCTCTGCATGCCTTTCAAGCTCTCTAATACTTTGTCCTCTCTTCAACTATTCTATATTCTCTGGGATATTTGCAAACACTTGTCTATATTACCAGGCTCTCAAACACAATGTTCTGATCTTTGGGGATCTTTCACACTGATTTCTGTTTTATTAGAGTACTGTTCTGAATAAGGATGAGAGAGGATATTTGGGGGATCTTTTCAGTGATACAAAAGCTTCAAGAGCTCTGGACTTCAACTGTAGTGGAGCTGGAATAGATCTCTGTGAGTTACCTTTTGGAATGCTTTTTGTCCCCTTCTGGGTTTGGTGGTGGTTGGAGTTAGGAAAGAAATAAGCTCAAAAAGGCACCTTTTAAAAAATCCTTTATTTTTATATTATCCTAGTAAAAATCTTTTATATAAAGGCGAATGTAAGTATTGCATAGAAGAAACACTGGTGCAAACATCACCTGGTGGGAATGGCATGTTGTTTCTTAGTGTCTACTATCTACTGCACAACAGATAGCTAGCCCATAGGCAAACATCTCCAGGTTTCCCCGTGCCAGCTACAGAATGAAGCTGCTTAACTGTATGGAACAGAAGTTACATCAGAATTACGTGTTCCCTATTCCATATTGCTCCCAAGAACCATCTGCTGGGAAAACATCATTTTCCTCTTTGCCTTTTCTACGCTTGACATTGCCTCCAAAAGACCATGAGGATGAGTTCCTCTGCCCTTCCTGTGTGTGAGATGATTGTAGTATCTATCTCATGCATACAAATGGGGGGGTGGACACAGGATAGGAGAGTTGGCCTAACATGACAATAGTCCAGGAACTCAATGCATGACATATACAAGGCATCTTCTGTCATCCTGGAGACATTTATGCCATTGTTTTTATCATCTCACATTCTACTTAGCTATGAGCACTTCTTTTAGGTGCCCTCCACCTGGGCTTCCTATAACTAACAGCCTTGGTACCACCAGGAGGGAACAGAATTCACTGCTACCACTTCAATAGCTTTTAAATAGAGCTTCTTCAAGCTGTTCTCCTACTATGTCTCTGCTTAAGTTCTGCTGTAGCTTCCGAGCATGAAGCACAGTGAGACAGTGGGTATACTACAGTCCAAAGGAAAACTCAGAGAAACAGCACTTTCAGACATTTGAACTATGCTTTCATGAATTAGAGATACAGAGAGGTATGCATTTATACAAATCAATAGTTGTGTATATTAAAAATACTTTTACTCAGTATCTGTTTTTATTTAAAAACATGCTAAAAACTTATATTTAAATAATCAGCGTGACATTTGGGGAAAACACACAGACAGCCACCCACTAGCATAAGCAAAAAAAGTGCATACATACATGAGCCAAAGCAAGCTCCCTTTGACCAGTTTACAGGACAGTTAGTGCCTTCTCTGACAAACTGACTGACATGGACTCACACTTTCCAGGGCTGTTGTTTGTCACCTGGAAAATGGCATTACTTTTCTGCTCCTTTCAGGATGTCTGTCATCACCTCCCACACCAGAGAGTCAGGTAGAGACACAAATTAGCCCTGCTCATGACTTCCTTCCTGTAGGTGGCTTCATGGAGATGAACACATGAAGCTTGTGTAACTATCTCACTTAATACTGTGCTTAAAATAGCAAAAGTAGTCATTAAAAAAAGATTTCAGGATCTATGCTCCTAGATCATGAAATGGAATGAAGCATTCTAGAAAAATAAGTTTGGATGGAAGGCAAAGTAGCTGAGTTTGCAACTACACAATTCATCTCTGAGTTACTCATAAACAGTTTTTATTTCCTGATTAATTTCACTAATATATTTTTGCCATTTTTTGTACAAAAACTGACTGCAGATTAAAATTTAAGATGTGGCAGGTACCACTGTGCGACCGAAAAGGACAGAGATGATGCTCCTGCTCAGGCCTGCACCCTGCTCTTTTTGAACACCAGAGAAAGCTAGAGAAAGCTAAGCACCTCTGCCCAAAGAGAGAATGCAGTGGAGCCATCAGATGAAAATTGTCCTGTCTTTTCTTGCAAAAATGGGAATGCATCTTAGCAACTTCGGATACAGTCTTACACGTAGCAGCAAGTACAGTGGGCATCAGAGCCTCTTCTTCAACATGGAACATCCATCTCCAGTGGGGCTCAGATGCTCCTGGTCCCAATTTTTGTTAGAATGCAAGTAAAACTGGATTCATTTTCTGTGCTTTCCCTCTGCTTCTTCCCTGATTCTTTCAAAGGCAATCCAATTGAAACAGCTGAACCCATATGGCATTGTCTGCTTCAGTGGGAAATAGCCCTGTGAAACTTTGGGCGTTGTGCTCATATGGGCAAGGGCCATGCTCTAAGAATAGTAATCTTCTTCAAATTAATTTCTGTCTCCCACACATTCACACTCCTTCCTGTCATACTGATTGCACAGGAACTTAAAAAAGTGACACATAGGCCATACAAAACATGGTTGCTGCAAGATGTATGCAGGACCTACCAGGAAAATAAATGGGATTAAAAACTCCCAGATATGAAACAGCTGTTTCAGCCCACGAGGGAAAGATAGGCTGAGTGACACAATGCAGATGATATCTTTTAAGAGTTTAAAGTATAAATATTCAGACTGGGCATTAAAAGAAACTTGTTTACCAGAGAAGTAGTTTGATATGTTATGGCTCTGAAAGGCACAAAATCTCCATCCTCTACAGGCTCTGAAATGCAGCCCACTAATGTCATTGTAAGCCCCATTTCACATAGATGTCAGTAACCCTTTGAGAGTGACACTGGATGAGGTAACCTCTGAAGGTCACTTCTGACTGCTGCTAATACAAAAAGCAGAGGTTTTTTTCAGAGCAGTGGTGAGCCCTGACTGGAGTTAAAATCAGGACATCCTCTGAGCCTTTCCTTCTTCCTTCACAAAACATCAAAAACCTGGAGCAAAGGGCAAAATGAGGGCTGCCCGCAATGAAGCAGCATTAAAAATACAGAAATATATGTTTTAAGTTTTCTAACAGGAATGTTGGTAAAAGTATGCACTGCAGTGATCTCTGCACTATACCACTGAATGAACTTGGCAATCCATCAGCAAAAACCAGTTCTGTACTGAAGGTGTGATGACACATACTACCTCTGAGTGCTGTTTTGGAAATTGCCCTTTTCCTGCATCATCTGGTCACCTTTAATCAAACCATCTTTTCCAGCTCAGGGAGATGGCTGTCATCTGCCTGAGGAGACCCCTTCAATGAAGAGCACGGCATGACAACGTTGCCATCAAACTGCCATCCCCTTCCCTCATATCCAGCAGCATGCCATGCCTCGGGCAAGCTTTTTGAAACAGACATCGCCATTGTGAAGTCTGATTCCAACTAGCCAGTAGGCCAGACTGCAATCTCTTTCCTTCATGTCAGGGAGCAGTAACTTGCTTAGTTAGTACTTTTAGCTTTCATAGTAGCATGGTATCAAAGCAGCCAGACACTGCTTTGGGTGAGTAAAGGCATTGGAAATTTGCCTTACAGGAGTAGGAAGTTCACCACCTGGTCCAAAGGGAAGGCACTGCATTCCATCTGAGGATGTAACAAAGGTGGTTCCTTTGTTACAGTAAGGACATCAAGATCTTGGTGAAAGGTAGATGATGCCTCCCCATGGACTTGAAAAAAGTTATGTATTTATGTGCTAGCACATGCCCTCTAGAGATCGCACAGTGATTCCCAAATTAATGTACAATAAATGTGTAAAACCAAACCCAGTAAGAAGTTATAAGTCAGGCTACTAAATTCTAAGCTATATCCATCATAATAATCATCATCATTATCATAATAAAAAAGTATACACCATAAGGTACAAGAAGCTGCAAAGCAAAGCAGCTCCAATTCCTACGACTCTCAGAGTGGCTTTTCTGAGTCTTCCAGTAAATTAGACAGGAGGGTTGAAAACTTAATGGAAGACTTTGAAGAATTCCGCCTTGAAGAGGAACACAGATAATTTCTGCACATACAGCATGGATTAGTAGAGCAAAACATTTTCTTAACATTAAGAACCATTCTTAGAGCAGGTTTATGATTTTGTGTAGAAAATCCATTGTTTTGGGGAGTTTCCCCCCTCTTTGGCAAATAAATGGCAAATGTGAAAGACAAAAATGAGTCAACAAGTTGTGATAATAACTGGACAAATAACAATAAAGTAGATCAGTCAATAGGATGGATTCCTTCAGCAGGGCTAGGCTTGATACTCTGTCATTCCTTTTGTTCATTTTTATGATGAGACAGAAGGGTTGATGTGATAATGTTTCAGAAGCTTTAGGCATCATATTTTTTGCCAGTCCTGTGAATCTGCTGGAAGAGTGTCATGGAGAAGGCCATGCCAAGAATCTGAAGGAAAACAAACAATAAGGCTTCAGTACAGTGAGGCTGCCAAATCTTCACTGCTGACCTGTGCTCATTGTCCAGCTGTAGTTTTATTAGTCATTCTACACTAGCCATTATTTCTCAAGTTTCAACACTGATCAGTAAACTTGGATGTATATTGTTCAGGCACATGGTGATGTCTGGAGATGGATCTGTCAGAGCACAGATGGAGGCAAAAAGCTCTCAGGGCTCTTTGTCATATGTGCAATGATTTTTCAGAATATACATACGAGTCACTCTTCCTTTTTACCCAACAACTTGTGCTTGTTTAGCCAGATAACTGAAATATGACTGAAACAGCAGATTCAGGTATCCTCCCCCCAAAGTAAAACAGTAATACAGGAACCCCAAAACCTTAACAGATTATGATGATACTTCTGCATTTCTTCTTTAAAACACATTAACCTACCCAGTGGCTACAAATTTAATAATTTTGTCAATTTGCTTCCAAATTTAAAAAAAAATCCAGTACCCTAAGGGACAGTGTAATAAATGGCTAAACATGGGAACCCCAAAGTGGTGCTCTGAAGTCAAAAGGCAGGTAAGCAAAATCCCACTGTAGTATGCCTTCTTTGTGAGACTGACTGATCTGCTTCCTTTCTGAGGAGATGGCCTTACATGAACTCATAAAAGAAATCTGTCATTTTTGAAATCACGATCAAACTCAAAGTGGTTGAGTACCACTTTTCACACAGCAGAATCAACAATGCTGATGGCAAATCAAAGGCATGTTGACAAACATCATACCAGTATTACCTGCATTATGAGGATGCACATCCCGATCGAACCAAGGACATGCTTATTCTCATCGAACCAGGTCATAACTCTCTCATAACATCCCTGAAATGACGAAAGAAGAAAATTGAAATCCCAGGGTCACATTTTCTTTCACATGCATTCTCTGTATTTTCTTCCTTCCCATGCCTCCCTAACCCCTGACCTGGGCAAAAGCAAGCCTTACCGTTTTCCACACCAGTTCAGTAGAGTTCCGTCCACAGTCTTGGGAGTTTTCCGTACAACATCGGTCTGGGACAGTGTTTTCTCCCAGCACTGGGTACCAATCCGTAAAGTCATTCACACCACAGCATTTCATCTATGGCAAAAATCAGGATTCATAAATTAACTTAAGCAGCACGATTAGTGAATCATGCACTCCTGCAAACTTTCACTAAACTGCTGAGTATTTTCAAAAGGACTGCCACGACAGTTTTGTATGTTAAAGTGCTTTGTGCTCAGCCATCACTAAAATCAAATACTTAACAACATTTGGAAAAAAAACCCAAAAACCAAAACAGTCCCATGCCCAAGGTGTGTTAGCCTTCTTGTCACAGATAGATGAACCCAAACTTCAAAACTGCCCACAAGTGCTGAACAGCAAAAGCCTAAGCTACCAAGGCTGCAGGTGTACCTATGCAGATTTTGCTGCTTCTCTGTTTCAGATCATCTCTGTGCTTGTGATTGGCACAGAGAATCTCAGAGAGAGGTGAGGATCTTTCATCTCATTGAGCACACTTTGATCCTGGATTTCACCATACTCCCTGGATGCTCGAGAGTGCAAAATCAGAAATTAAAGCCTGATTCAGCCATCTTTTAGACTTGGCACAAATGCCAAAGTCAACGACTGCAGCAACCTTTCTGGCCAAATTGTGGGGGTTTGTTTGTTTCTTTGTTTCTTTTTGTTTGGTTTTGGATTTGTATGTGGGTTTTTTGGTTTCGGTTTTTTGTTTGGTTGGTTGGTTTTTTGTTTGGGGTTTTTTTTTGTTTGGTTGTTGTGTGTGGGTTTTTTGTTTTGTTTTGTTTTGGCTTTAATTGAGAAAATATGTTACCTCTGCTTGAATGATATTCCATGCATTTTTCAGTCCAACATTATTTTCTGAATTATACAGCTTCATACCTTCCTTCAAATCTTTCTTTGCACTTTCACTAACCTGCATGATATAAAAAATACAGAAAGTCAATGCACTGCAGTTCAGAGGACAGGACCAAATGGTACAGACTTGCATATAGAATGTATCCCTCTCACTTTCTCTCACCACAAACTTAACATAGGTAGAAGAGCTCCATCATAGCTTCAAGACTCTCACAAGTCAGTGGGACCTTTCAGCACCTGCCAAGTCCTAGCTTCTCCCTCAGACTGCAAAATACTAGATTAATTCTCATGAGATAAGCTTCCTCTCTACTAAAAGACCACCATACAGTCATCACCTGATCCAAACTAACTGAAGTCATCAGCAGAAATTTGCTGAGATTAATTTTGCTCGAGACAGCTGTTGGCAATACCTCACAGCAGCCTCTCCTGCCTGTAACCTATGGCCTACTTTAATTTGCTGACATCATAAAACCAGAGTCCCAGCCTCTCAAGCTTAACATAGTTATCCCTTGCACAAGTTCAGGCAGGCTATAGTAAATGGCCAATACAAAATCAATTGAGAAAGAATATTATTATTGCTCTCCTTGTGGGGACAGGAATTTATGATTTTCAAACATGCTCTTCTTTCTGTAGTGGAGAAAGTTGGAATGCTTAGCAGGAGATCTGAGATGTCCCATTTCTTGCATAAATTTCAGTCTGAGCCTGGAGTCCTGGGTGCAGGATGGCTCTGACAGCAGTGAGGTGGCAGCAGAGAAAGGATTACGGGTCCTGCAATAAAAGTCAACTATATTGTAAGATCTGTTCCATCCCTCTTTGACATCCCATTTGAAATCCTAAGTTCAGCATAGCTCCCTGAAAGTGGCAGGCATCATGACAATCTGGGAAGAAATACAGCTCTGGTAGTAGTTCAGTTTTAAAATCAGTCCGGACATGTCATACTGTAAGGCTCTGTCTTGTGTTTAGCAGAGTTCTCCAGTTCCCTGAGCATTTTTCCAGTCTTGCCTATCTGACAGGCCAGCCAGTTTTTCCTACTTAACTTAGTCTCTACTAGATAGCAGACTCCTACAGATGGGCTTTATAAGAAGCTGCCTCTTGATCCCTGACAAACTTTTTAGGACTGACCAGCCAAATGAGAGAGCTGGTGGCATCTGGAATAACTTATGAATATTCCAGGCGTCTCTCCTCCAGTCCTGTTCCAGGGTTGGCCCTAAGGAGCTAACAAGGTCTTAAGTAGGACTCAGGTCCACAAGATGATTTGCTTCTTGCAGAGACATCACACAGCTATGTTGAAGGCTACCTTAGCTTTTAGGTGAAGACTAAAAGGGTGAAGAATAAAGGTGAAGAATAAAGGTGAAGAAAGGTGAAGAATAAAACCTGGACTATGGTTTTATTTCAGGGAAACTGTAAAGCTCAGAGGGTTCTTCTCTTCCATCACTTCCTTCTCCCCCTGCAGAAGCAGCTTACAGAGAACAGCTCAGGTTAAACCTTCACCAAAGTGAAGAGCAAGGAGAACCCACGTATCTCCATCAAATGAAAACAAACTGAATCTGATTTACATGCTAGTACAGATAATTAACCTACATGGCATATTTGCTTACCTTGTCCATATAAACAAAGAACAAAATGAGTAGTATCAGCTCTGCCAGGAGAATTATCAGCAAAATGATGAAAAACTAGAACAAAGAAAAAACAGACAGTGTATATACGCTTGCCAACTAGAAAGCAAACCAAGGGCTGATAGAAACTGAAGACTATTGGCCTTGTCCTCTAAACCTTTCCTCTACTGCCAAAAACCATCCAAGTTTGATTTCAAACAGTTCAGGCACATTGATACTATATTGCCACTAAAACTTCTGTAGGTCTCACCACAATGACAAAGCTCACATGCATTCTCTAAGTCTTAGGTCTGGCCTTACTACCGGTTTGCAAGTTTCAGCAATGCTTTTTTTTTTGACTGCTGTCAGAGCACACAGCCCTGATAGTCAATTTCTTTCATGCAGACTATAGAACAGATGCTAAACCCATTACCGCAAAGATCAATGTATTGTGCCTCAGGTAGGCTTTAACCACAGGTACTTAGTTGCCTGTTGGAATAGTTTTTGTATTACTCAGCTCTTCTACTCCCAACTCTCTGTAGCTGAAGTATCTCTGTAGGGGCATCCCAACTGTGAGCTTCAGTAGTTTCTCACTATTTTTCATGCCTACTAGTTGCCTTTATGTACTAGTGGACTGCCACGTAAGTATGGCATCCTCCACACAGACATGGGGAGATGTAATATGCAGTGCAGCACACTCTCCACTTGGAAACCTGCGATAGTCATGATAGTATAAAAAGACTTTTGCAGAACCTTGTAAGAATATTGTCCTGGTTTTGGCTGGGATAGTTAATTTTCTTCCTAATAGCTGGTGCAGTGCTGTGGTTTGGCTTCAGTCTAGGAACAATGCTGATAACACACCGATGTTTTAGTCGTTGCTCAGTAGCACTTACCCTGGTCGAGGACTTTTCAGTCTCTCATGCTCTGCTAGTGAGGAGGGGCACAAGAAACAAGGAAGGAGCAGAGCTAGGACAGTTGACCCAAACTAGCCAAAGGGGTATTGCATACCATAAAATATCATGCTCAGTGTATAAACGGGGGGGAAGTTAGCTGGAAGGAGCTGATTGCTGCTCGGGAACAAGCTGGACATCAGTCACTGAGTGGCAAGCAGTGGTACTGTGCATTGCTTGGGTTTTTGTTTGGGGGGGGTCTCTATTATGATGGTGATGATGTTATAATAGTATTAATATTACATTTTACTTTATCTAAATTATTAAACTGTCCTTAACTCATAGGTTTTTACCTTTTTTCCAATTCTCCTCCCCATCCCACTGTGAGAGGGGAAATGAGTGAGTGTCTGCATGGTACTTAGCTGCTAGTTGGGCTTAAACCATGACAAATATAAACACTTTTTAAAAAAACCAACAACAGTAATCTTGTGGATAAACATTATTACTATTCTCTGTGTGCTTTCCTATCTGTACAACATAGAAAACCAAGCAGCAGATAGCAAAATACAGGTGCCAGTTTGTCCTCCAGTTTAATTCTCTGAGGTGGTCTAATGTCTAAGGAATGCTCCCTACCTGTTTCACACCACCACGGAAGGGAGACTTTTACACAAGGAAAATTCACATGCTCCTTTCTGTTGCAGCACAGCTTTATAAGCTGTGACTGAATTGGAAGCTGTCTACTTTGAAAGTCTTCCTCTCACTTTATGCACAATACCTCTCTCCTTGGGGTGAGAAAAAGCATGATGAAACCTCCTTTGTTTATGCAAGAGCAGTGACCCACACCGTGTTTTCTGAGAGCAGTTCCCAACCTCTGTGCTTCAGTGCTGGACAAAGACTGCCAAGGATCAGACTGGATTTTTTTTTTCCTATTGGTAAGCCCTGGCAGAGACCATGGCTTCTTAACTTTGGGTCAGATGGTTTCCACCAACCTCTGACAATGGCCTTAAATAAAACCAAAGTAGAAAATAGCCATGTGAGGCTTTGAGTGGCATCCAAAAGCAACTGCACTTAAGATTTTTCAGTGGATTCTTCTACTAGACATTTCCAGAACGGTTATCCAGGTTGACCCTACAGTTCATGTTTAACCATTCAGAGGTAACTGACAGCAGTAATTTGCTTTGCTATCTAATACCTTATGGCAGATAGTAACAAGGATACACTTGCTCATACACCAGTTATACCTCTGTGATCAGAGCCATGGGATGTCATACTGCAAGCATGCAGAAGACTGAAAACCAAGGGCAACATTACAGTGATCCACAAGACTATTTTGCACTGGTCATTCAAATAAAATAACAAAGCAACAGTCACAGGTGTTAGTGAAAAGAAGTCTTGATGTCTTACACTCAACAGGAGGCACTTGTTTTCCTTGATAGCACCTAGGCAGCCCAGAAAGCCAGTCACCATGATGACTGTGCCAATGGCAATGACTAGGTTGGCAGCTGAAAGTGATGGGAAGCTAGGAGAAAACGTGGCGAAGTTTCCTTGCGACACTGAGAGCCAGATGCCCACACCCAGCAGTCCACAGCCACATAACTGCAAAAATATAAACAAAAGAAAGGTTTTGCTGTTAAAATAAATGGAACTGGGTCCTCCCCCACACTCTGAAAGGAAAGAATTTCTCAAGCACATTCTCAGGTAACTGTTCTGCAGTAGTGCTCTCACTGGCTTGGTGATGAAACAAAGTGAAACTAAGTGGTGTTACTTAGACTTGGTCATGTCACCTACACTTATAAATCTTTCAAAAGCCACTGGATGGCAGAATTCTCTTTTTAAAGACTCAGCACATGAAACCAGGGCTACCCACTAATCACCCAACAGCCCAACCCCATTTTTCTGTAGGAAAATAAAAACCCATTATTTGAAAGAATGTTCCAGTTAACTTATTCCTGCAGTCACCTACAATGTCTTAAGAGTATCCAGCTCCATACTTCCTCATCCTAGGACAGGCAAGGAATTATCCTGGAGATATTTATTGAAATGATACTACAAATCGTAATTATTTGTCATAAAACGCCCAGTCTCAGTGGCCAGGTTTGATTTTGAGTTCTCAACAGCTTTACTGTTGGTTATCAGTGTTAAATGTCTCAAAAAATCAGATTTCCAGGTTTATTATCTACAGGAAGATCAACTTCTGCTACCCTCTGTCAGTGAGAGAACCTGAAAGAAATGCAAAGCTGCTCGATCAAATTCATTTTGATTCTCACTCTTAACAATACCATGTCTGGTTAAAGAAATAAGGTTTCCTACCCTAAATCACAGGGCCTGTTTTCAGAAAAAGGGGCAAGTGTTGCACTACATGGGGCCTAAAAGCTGGCTATGTGGTAGTATTTGCTCAAAATGGCTGTTACACAATTTCCCATCTGATCTGTGATCACTGGCAATGAAATCAATAGTAGGAGCTAACAGCACTTTCATGAAATTTGTGAGCTACTATTACAGACTCCTGCCAAATCCAGCCTCTAGTCAGAGGAGAAATTCATGGAATTGTAAAATGGTTAGAGTTGGAAGGGATCATCTAGTT